GTGCTTTAACCCGCTGTATCACCAGGGAGGGCCCACTGCTACTTTTTCTTTTTTTAAATAAAGAAGTTGTACCACTTTACAGGAATTTATGTTAGTATTTTTCAATTCCTTGTCTTAAAAGGGTCGTTTGGCTCTTAAAAGAGTCGTTTGGCGAGATTATGTAGCATTATCACATTGAGTTTTTAGTGTGCATTTTCCTAATGCCTTATGATAGTACCTTTTCATAAGATTGCTGGTTCTTTGGACAATGCCTATGCCCAGTTTTAATGTTGGCATTGTTTAATGTTAGTATAGTCTGTGTCTAGGATTTGTATATGCATATGAATACAAGTCTTTAGTTAGACATATGACTTGAGACTATTCTCCAAATTCAGAGCCTTTCTGGAAAATGGTTTATAAAGACTTTATAAAGGAGAAAGTTCATGACTCTTACATGAGCTCATATCTCCTTCCTGTGAACCCTCCTATGGACTCTTTCCTCTCTTTCTTTTTTTCTTGCCTTAAGCTCCTCCACTGTCTTTTGGGCAACATGAACACTAGATTCTTGAAGTAGTAACATGCCAGTTTGTCACTTTAGTCTGCAAGGAGCAAAAATTTTTTCCTCCATCTCTTTTGTGATGGGGGAGAGAAATTATTTACAAAATGGAAGGAATAATTCCTGTCTTCACATAGCATATGTCCTTTCCAAGACCTTCATTCCTGCTCACCTCAAAGAGAGGCTGAGCACAGGGGTCTGGAGAGGTAGGGTGCTGGGGGTTATTGTAAGAGGAAGGCCTTAAGCGCCTTCTGTTTCCACACCATTGCTCCCACTTTTTCTGCTCTTATCTACCCCCTCCCTATTTCTGTGAAACCTCTAGACTCCAGGCTGCAGCATTAAAACAGTCATCTGACTATGGACTCAGAAGAGTTGGGAAGAGGAATTTGGGCCATTTACCTCGATGGTGGCACCAGGTCACCATGAAGACAGAAAGCTGCACCCAACCCAGACACCTGACCTGTGTGTCTGCGGGAGCCATGAATTAGTGACACTGGGGACTAAGTAGTAGATAATCTGTAATGTGAGCTTTGTTTTTACTTACTTGTCTTGTTGTGATCTTTGGGTTTTCTTTTTTTTTTTTTTCTGTCTTTCTAACCATGTGTTGTGCAGTTAATGTATGCATAAGATTGAACATCTTTAATTCCCTATAAACTATTAATTCTTGTGCTATCTATGTAATCTAAGAAAGTGACAGCATTTCAGAATATTTCCCATTAATATTTGATGTGATGAAATGTGTATTTAATTTTTATCACATATACATAGATATTTTAGCACTAGTTCTTATCTATATTGGTTAAGTGTTAGAGATGATAAAATACTGCCTGTCATTACAGATAAGCCTACTCATTTGGGGACAGGATGTTCTTTTAGGATAGACTGAAATGCAGCCATTGAACTATATTACACTAGTTTGTTACCGTGTTAAAGTTAAGGCTGAGTCCCAATTTGCCTGACCCATTCCAGGTCAAATAAATGATTGCATCATTTATTTTTCTTTTTATGTGAAAAAAAAATCACTTCCTGGTAGCCTAGAACTTTCTTCCATTTTATCCCTTTAGAAGTTCAAGTATTAAACAGTAATCATAATTTACAAAATTTTGTGTTTCTATTGAAATGATGGTCTGAGATGAGTACTTTATTCTGACAGGGGTGGAAGGCAGGCTTGGTTTGCTGGATAAGGGGAAGCCAGCAGTCATCCACATGTCCAACAAATAATGGTGAGACAGATACAGGGTGACATCAATTGATAATCTGGTTTCAAAGATAAAGCAGTGGATTGAAATGCTTGCATGCAATAATGCCAGGACACCACTAGAGGTCAATCTTCCCTCCTTTATTACACTTAAAACAAGCTAAATGGATTTTAATACCATCCATGTTTTGTTTATTTTATTTTAAATGTATTTATTTATGCATGCAGAACTGGCGGTACAGGCCAGAATTGCAGGGGCCGGGGGTTGGTTAAAGGATTCATTAGAGACAGTGGGGAGCAGAACAGGCGGCAGAAATACTCTGCTGAGGGGAGCAGCGGGTGGGACAGGAGAGGTCTACTGCACCATGTGGGTCACCTCCCTGGTAGGGGATCGAACTCATGCTGCACTGGGTGTGATAGCTTCATAGTGCTATTTTTTAACCTGTTGTGCCACCAGGGAGGGCCCCCATCCATGTTTTCTTTAGGATTCAGTGAACTTTCATTCTTGTAGTGATGTGAAATTCCACATAAACTGCCAATAGGTTATTGTCTTCAACTGGAAAACTGGATAATTTTTTGTTTTATGTTTCATTCTAATACATTTAATTTCTTAACCTATCATCAATACAGTCAAGTTTTCTGAAACAATGTTTTGAAGATTGGACAATTTATTCTACAAATCAGTGAAGCAGAAAGGGAGACTGTAATAATTGCTGCATCAGTATTACCAGTTTCTGTTTCATTGTATATAGCTGAAACATTAAATTCTCCTTATTCATGGGCTCCAGAATTGTGAATTCACCTTTTGGCTAAAATGTATTTATTATGTAAAACTGTTACCTGCATAGCTCTCAGGCTTATTCACAACAGGTGCAGAGCAGTAAGCCTCTGCGCCTCCTGCAGCTCCGCCTCTCCACCGAGGTGGAGGAAGAACTTTCTAGGGTGAGTGAATTTATCAGGCTTTTTGCTCCATGAGCTCTGTGGTCATCACCGTGGCCTTGGTAGTGTTAATGGAGAGAGCACTGGGAATGTGGGTGCAGGGCACGTGGGCCTGGTTGGGGAGCATGGGTGAGCGCATGTGCAGGTGTGCACACCTAGGGGTCGGACTTGAGGCCGGTTGTCACTCAGAGGCGAAGGCTACAGGAGGAAGCTAGTGTGAGACGGGACTACCAGTGAGAACAGAAGGTGCGAGACCTCGGAGAGTCCAGAGAAGGTGTCAAGATTCGCTGGGGGCTGGAGTGGGGGAGGGGTTTGGTTGCCACCAGGCTCCTGGTCTCCATCTCCAACCCCCTCTCCACTCCACCCCACCCCAACACCCTCCCAGCCCCACCCCTCCCTTAGCCCCTCTCCACCCCTCACCCCTGCTTGCTGAGCCACAGGCTTTGATTTGTTTCACTTTCATACTGTAAATGGGTGTCCTTGTCCTGATCTATGTGGTGCCAAGTTTTTCTCGTTTCTGACATTTTTTGGGTGATGAGGCTATGTAAAGAGGCTTCCAGGTGTCCTGTTGAAATGTCTGCTGTTTCTGTGTGCAAGGTCATGGCAGCATTAATCTTCTGTCACTGGATACAATAAGTCTAAACATTTTTCTGTGGATTCTGAGGACCAATCAGAATGAAGTGAAGAGAGGACATGTCGGGCAGTATTCTAATTGTTCCCCTAGTTTTCCCACTCCAATCTAGGGGGCTGAATAGGATGAGAGATTCTCTACCTGTGTTTATATTATGTGACAAAAGCAGTTTTACAGGTATAATTAAGGTTATTAGAGTGCTGACTTTGAGCTAATCCAAATGGAGAGGATCAGGGTGGTTGAATCTCATAGGAGCCCTTTGACAAGAGTTTCTTCTATGGTTAACATAAGTCAGAGAGATTCAGCCTGCAAGCGGAACTTAACCAGAGGGACGGTCTCTGTTCCTGGCAAGGAATGGAGTCAGAGCAAAGAGCTAAGAGTGATTTCAAGGACTGAATTGGTTTCTGGACAAGAGTCAGCTTTATAACCTCCAGGATCTGAATATTTCCAAGAAATTGAAAGTACTTGAGGAGTTTTCTTCCCCAGAACCTCCACACCTTAAAGTTGGGTTTGAGACACAAAACAGAAAACATAGCTAAGCCTACTTACTTATGTGTGGAACTTGGAAATAATAAGTATTGATCTAAACTAGTTAGATTAATATATTATGCTGTAAAAGAACATGGATTTATCTGAAGTGACAGGGCCTGGGACTGGACAGTTCTAGGGTGAAGGAATGGAGAGTCCTTGATGAGGTCTGGCAGCTTTGGGTGGGGGGTGGGCTAACATGCGCTAATAGCGGGATGTGGCCTGCACACTGTGGAAGCTTCAGGAGCACGGGTGATTTTTTTTTTTTTTAAGGGGAATATCTTGATTCTCTGGAGCATCTATGTGACCAAGAGGAATGTCCACCAGAAAAGAAACAGATGAACAAAGTGACCCTTGTTGCAATGAGCAAAGACTCCATCACTGAGGTCCTTACACTTAGAATTTCTTCTTTTGGTTCTCTATCAATTGTGTCTTTCTAAGGATGGCTGTGTAACAGGCTCTGTCCTTCATACCTCAGTGAGGCTATAGTCTCTTTGTTATAATACAATTGCAATTATATGATGCAACTGAAATATCAATAAATATCAATAAATCAAATACATATTAGCAGAAGGACTTTGAAATAATTTTAACAGAACAATTGTCACCACCCTTGTGTGCTGGAAGGACATGCCTGGAGTGTATCTAGAAGAGTTAAATATATTTTTGTCTATCAGAAAGGAATGCTGCTAGGTATATAAAATAGAGAAATTAACCCTACTCTAGATACAGGAGTCTTGTTAATTCTTACTCTACCCTGTGATTTAAAAAAAAAAAATGTAAAGAGAGAGATAAAAGCTTCTTGAAATGTAATCCCTAAGGTTGACAACTCACATTTTCTTTTGAAATTTCTTTAGAAATGGAAATTAATTTCATGCTGTCCTTAACAGCACATAAGGATAATGACAAATTGCCCTGCTAAATTTTTTTGTGACCATCATGTCTTTAATTGTAAGATAGTCAGTTGGTCACAAAAATATAATGTGTTTCTCTTACCATGACACTACTAAGCAGGGAGAAAACAGGTAATAAGGATACGCATACTTGATAAGGGTCATACAGCATCTGTATTGCAACATTATAAACTATAATGTGATTTCTATACCCTGAAAGTGTTTCGATGAACTCCAAATGAAATCATTCTGGAATGAATGAAGATTTTAGTTTTACAATAACATTAAACCATATTTAATTTTATTTAATTTTTCATCTAGCGTAAATTATTAAATTCTTGGAAAAGCAAAGTTAACATAAGTGCATACATTGAGACATGACTGATTTCCATGAACACAACTGCAACTATCCAGAGTCATCTGGGAACAAGATTTTCTACAAATACTCACTTCTTAGAACTAGGTCAAGTAGAAATGGGAATCTTTTTCAGCTGTGTTATATATGTCTTTGGTTCTCATCTTAGGGTCTGGGTTGTCTGTGTGGGGGCCCTCTGGGAGAGTAAAGTGAACACAACTGCAGCCCGCCTCTAAACTACCTCCTGTAATATTTGCAAAATGGCTTTGTTCTTCTACCTCTCCCCTTGATTTTCACTTGAATAATATACATTCCATCTTCTTAATTTGCTTCTTTTATCTATTACTATCTTGGGAACACTGAAGAAACCATCTTGTTAAAATTATATATTAAGGAAGCTTTTTTAAAAACCACTAAGTGAGGTTATTGAGATAATGTGTCTGGAATTAAATGCAGGGAATATGTCGGCTGTCATCTTGATAAATACGTTCAGGCTGATTGAATTTACCAGAACTAGGCTAAGTGAGATATTACTGGCTTATAAATATAGATGAAAGGATCCTCTTTTCCTTAAAATGGGAGAATTCTAAAGGAATATGCCAAAGTCAGAGGTGGAAGATGTGTTTAATGAAACATCTGGTTATAGAGGAGAACACAATAAGACAGCAGCATATTGTAGTTGAAAATATGTCGTGTCAGACTAGGACTATTTAGAGGATAGTCCTGTCACCGATTTGTATGGTGACTTTGGCAAAAAGATACTTATGCATGGATCTCATTCCCTAACTTCTCGTAAACCTGCTCCTTTAAAATTTCAAGACTTCGGGCCCTCCCTGGTGGCGCAGCGGGTTAAAGCACAGCACTGAGAAGCTAAAGCCACTTCTGCATGAGTTCAATTCCCGCCTCCCCTGGAGGTGACCACATGGCGCGGTAGACCTCTCCTGACCCGCCCGCTGCTCCCTCAGCAGTGTACTTCGTTGATCTGCCTGTTCTCTCCCCACTCTGTCTCTGGTGAGGCCTCTCGCCGGCCCCTGAGCCTCTGGCCTGTAGCCCCGTTCTGTATGTACAAATAAATAAATCTTTAAAAAAAAATTTCAAGACTTCAATTAAATTATATTATTTGATCTGGCCATGGAAATTAGGTGTGGCTGTGAATGCCTCTGTTGAGAAACTAGTAATATTTGGGTCCTACTGTTGGAATCAATAATGTGAGTAAAATCTTTTTTTTTTTTTTAAGATTTATTTATTTATTTTTGCATACAGAACTAGGGTACAGGCCAGAGGTACAGGGATGGTGAGAGGATTCACCAGAGACAGAGTGGGGAGCAGAACAGGCAGATCAATGAAGTACACTGCTGAGGGGGGCAGCGGGCGGGTCAGGAGAGGTCTGCCGCGCCATGTGGGTCACCTCCGGGGTGGGGATCGAACTCGCACTGAAGTGGCTGTGGCTAGCTTGCAGTGTTGCATCCTAACCCACTGTACCACCAGGGAGGACCAATGCGAGTAAAGTCTATGAAAACATAAATACTTACTGACTTAACACAAAAGTAAATGATAACAAGAAAAAAATGGTCTTAGGTTTAAGAGTATTGAGCTCACAATCTAGAAAACATAAATGCAAACTTATCTTAATGGAAGACCTTTTGCATAATAAAGGCACAGTTCAATAATCAGTTAGGAGTCATTGGCATATCTCCTCTTCAATTTGATCCAGATGCCTTTAGTTGGACGAAGAATCAGATCTCCTACCAGGCCGAGTTCTTCTCTTTTCTGGTTGCATTCTACCCAAAACTGCCTCAGAATGCAGGAGAGGATGGTCTTTTCTTCCATCATGGCAAATTTTTGACCTTTAAATGAATGTAAACATGATGAATTTAATTATTGCTATATTTCAAATGGGAAAATAACACACTGATTTGGAGGAAACAGCTGTTTTATATTCAGAGCAGTTTCTGGGAGAATCAGAACCAGCTGGGAAGCTATTTAAAAAGAACACTCTTGAGCTCCCTTCTCTGCTCATTCCCATTGCATCTGACTACTGTGGTGGACCAGGGAACCTACGTTTAAGCAATACTCCCAGACGTATCCTGGCTCCTTAAATTATGAAAATCCCTACTCTAAATTACCTTCTTACTTCTTTAGTGTAATTTAGTAGCCTCCAAATACGATTCAGATACGTCCACTTAAGTCTGACCTTATGTCACTATACCTGCCTTTACATGAACAGTAAAATGCTAGAGATGCTAAAGCCAAAGTTATTTACTATGATGATGATGTACTTTTTTTTTTTTTTTTAATTTTATTTGTGCATACAGAACTGGGATACAGGCCAGAGATGTGG